AAAAAAAAAAAAAAAAAAAAAACAATCAAAACTCAATTTTAACTCAATTTTAACTCAACCTCATTATCTCTCATATTATCAATATAATTAAATAATATCATCCAATCATTTAACATCACATCAACTTTAATTCTCTATTCATCCACTCACATAATTTTAATTAACCATTACTTCTAATATTTTTTCTCATACTTTACATCAAATCAACTATAATTAAAAAACGAACCAAATAATTTATAGTTAAATTCATAAACAATCACCCTCTCACGAGCTCACCCCAATTTCTAAAACATTGGCTACTTCATACCCCAACAAGCAAAATGGCACCATGAGGGTATATAATCTATTTGTTTCTTATATGGAGTATTACAATTTACATGCATATAAGATGACTAAAACATGATCTAGTGATTACTATAAATGTAAACCAACCAAAACTCAATTGCACCTTGATTAATTTGTTGTTTTCTTTTCATGTCTATTAGATGGATGATTGGGTTCTATGCAAAATCAACTAGAAAAAGAATGCGACAAGAACACCCGAACCCAAACCAGCACCAAAAGCTCGTCAAGAACCAATTAACCGAATTGCGAGTCCTAATTACAATACAAATTACGAAACACAAGCCTATAAAATCACAAGGATGTGCTCCCTAGCTCATATATGGGAGTTCGATTATTTGATCTCAATCTCCCAAATTTCGACGAAAATCATGTGTACGATTTTCCATCTATCGATCAAGAAACTACGGGCCATGATGGGATAAGCAGAGTTGAGCGATACCAACCAGCAGGGCAAATGGATCGGCTCGGTTTTACAAACCCGTTGTTCGGACAAATGAGCATGTTATAAATTATGGGATGTTGGGATATGAAGATCAAGGCCAAAATTTATGTGAAAAAAAAACGTTGGAATCTTTTATGAGATTAGTGTGTTGTAAAATGCAAGCCATGCTGTGGAACATATAATTTAGGTTCTTTATGATGAATAACCCAGAGTGGGAGCAGAAGGACAACGAGTGAAAGACTTGACCAAACCGGGGGAGGTGATAGTCTTATAATCAAGAGCAACATCCCAACTTTCTGAACCTTGTCAATTACCTCAAACTTCGGCTGCTGGATTGGTGGATCCCTTACTTCTTAGAAGCTAAATGCCCCCCAACCCTCAATGCCACCTTTTTCTGCGGGGTCGGTTAAAGCTTGAAAGGGAGTTCGTGGCCTACTAGGAGTTCTGTTTTCTTTCATCAACCCGGAACGATAGTGGAGGAGAGCCCGTATGCAGAGAAGGATGATGTACTAGAGAGTCCATAGCATGCGACGCCTCTGCGGATTCGGCGATGCGTGGCATCCCATTTCGGTTTGGGGACTCGATCCGCCCTTCGTACACATGTTTACGTTTTTTCCCTGAGAGAAAAAGAATACTACCTATTGCGATGGCTGCTCCCGCCTGCTGGCGGCGAGTTATACCTTTTACCCATTTTCATTGCCTCCACCAGACATTGAGAGAGCAATTGCTGCAGAGAAAGAGTATGAGTCTTGGCCATCCGAGGACGGATTTTCCATGTGTAGAGCCCCCTTCCACTCTTCCTCAACTTCGTCGACCCTCAAAGAGTATCAACCAATAGGCGGCTAGGAGTTTGTTGCTTGGGTGTTTTCTATGGTACGCGGGTTTTGTCATGAATATAGGAGCTTGTACGGGTGCTGAGTTGTGGAGATTATATCAACGCTTGCAATTGGCTTGGGACCTAGGTTTTCGTCAAGTTATGGCAGAGGTGGATAGTCAGTGTGTGAAGATTATGGTTCTTGGAACTGAGGACGAGTTTGGGGCGCATTCGGCGATAGTACGGGTAATCCGTAGCATGCTCCAGTACAACTGGAATGTGCAACTTCATCATGTGCATAGAGAAGCTAATTTTGCAGCGAATTTCATGGCAAGCTTGGCGACTTCGTACTCGTTTCGGCTGCACCGTATGTCGGCTCTGCCTTCTGGAGTAGGGTCATGGCTCGATCACGATCTTATGGAGGCAGGGGCGGAGCCACCCTAGGGCTAGGGTGGGCTCCAGCCCCATGTAATTTTTTGCTAACCTTATTTTTTAAAATAATTTATATAAAGACCCATTAGCCCCATGTAATTTTTTATGTAGCCTCATTTAATTTTGGGCTAAATGCCTCAAGAATAACTTCAGGTTAAAATATATAACTGACATCAATGGTGGAAAGATGATCATTGTAGTGAGAAAAAAAAAAAAGATAATCCTTTATTGTTAAATGACAATTGTGACATTATAAAATTTTATCAATTGAGTTTATAATGTGGCCCAACACACTCTTGATTTTTAAATTTTTAATTGGTTGACTTGATAAATATCAATTGAGCTGGATAATTAAGCTTCTCACAGACTTCTCCAACGGGCTATTTAATTGGGTACGTCTCATTATCCGTTATCCATTTTCATTTATTTGTTTATTTATTTTTTGTTGATTTCGTCTCCAATAATTAATTTGACATCATTTCCTAGACAAAGAGAAAACTCGTACATAGTTGATTGCAAACATGTTCGACTCTATTTGTTTGATCGACAAGTTCAATTAGCTATTTGAGTTTGGCTTGTTTAAATGTATAAGCAATTCGAGATTGAGTTTTTCCAATTCAAAACGACATATCTTAACAGATAATTTGTTTCTAATTATAACCAAACCGGTTACAGGTCGAAATCGTCGGTACCGGGCCGAGAATTGGAGGACCCTGAACCGGCGCGAACATATGTACGGGCCGGTTCATTGAACTGTCGGTTATTGGTCGTCCGGTTCATTAGAAAAAATAAAAAATAATTAAAATATTTTTAAAAAAGAAAAAAGGCCGAACCTCCAGTTCCGGTTCCAGTTCCAGTTCGGAAGCGAAGCTGCATGTTCAAAATGTATAAACTATAAAGTATTGTACATTAACCGAACTGGTCAAAATCACGGGTCGGTTCAAGATCTATGGTCAATGGGCCGGATTGTGTTGGTTCGGGGCGAACCGACATGCTGGGTTGACCCATGACCATGTCTACAAGGTGTCAATAATAGCTACAATAATATGCAGCCCTTGGTTAAAAAAATTCCTGGCTACGCCCCTGTATGGGGTGTCCTATCCCGCGTATTAGTCTAGTTGTTTCTTATCTTTAGGCCTTGGCCTCCTTTTTGTACCAAAAAAAATAAAAAATAATAATAATCTTTTTATTGTTTAATAACTGATAAATGCATTGAGGTCTTTTTTTCCACTCTTTTCTTTACCCAAAAGATAATATTGTTCAATAATTATCAGCATCAATTGTTGAATTGCTTAAATGGGTCTCACGTACGCACGACTCGCAACAAGGAAATTGGGTCCGAATCTCTACCCGTTTCAACCTCGCGGGATGGTCTGGCAAGCGGCCCAAAGAAAACGGCCCATCATAAATTCAAAACCAATTATTGAACTCCAGCTAAGCCCATTTAGCCTTTAACAAACGCAAAACGAACATTATTCCATTGCGGGCCCAGGCCCGAATACACAGCTGTCTATGTAGATGCTTGGATAAATTTTTATTTATTTATTCCATTCGTGCGTGAGCTGAAAGCTGAAACATATAATCTTCCATTTTCTTCAATTTCAGGTGAACTCTTATTAAAACCATGAATTATATATAGTTTTTTATTTCATTTAAAATAATATATAGTTTTGATTTCATTTAAAATTTTGAAATTATTTCATTTGTTTTATTGTATTATCTTATTTTTTTGCAGTGACATGGCGGACATAAATAATGAAGCAAAATCAGAGGAAATAAATCTTACGGTCACAGCTCCAAAAATTGAAGAAGCAAAAAATTTAACTCAGGAAAAATCAGAAAATGTTGATTTAGGTCACAAAAACAATGATCCATCTACAAAGCTTGAGGTACAACATCCAGACTATGCTTTATTATTCATATGTTTGTCCATTTATAAAGCCATTTTTTTTTTATTATCTATATATAAACATTAGTTATACTTGCATATTTATAAATGTGATGTTTTGTTAGGTTAATTAATATAAATTGGCAAATTAATCTTCTGACTTAAAAATTTTAAACATTAAAGGACTACTAAAATTGATTTGGAAATGCTACGATCTAGTTACGGAACCACTCTGTCGGGGTTTGTAACCGTTACATCACCATATAACCGTCGAGGATAGTTGACCAAACAGTCTTGATTTCTAGCGAGATTAATTAGTTTGATTTTAACAATTTTTTTTTTTTTTTAGGAGGAAGTTATCAAGAAAAAGTATGGAGGCTTATTACCAAAAAGGCCTCCTCTAATCTCCAAGGTAATAATAATACATATACATATTGTTCAACTATAGAATTTTATTTAATTTTTTACAGCATAAAAGCTTATGTAAATTAGAATAAACATTTTATCAACATATATATATGTACTTTTGAACTCAAATTATTACATATTTTAAAAAAGCAATATAAACAGAAATAAAACATTATTATAGCAGGACAATGAACGGGCTTTCTTTGATTCAGCTGATTGGGCTTTAGGAAAGGTAAATAATTTTTTTTTTCAAATTTTTAATTTTTTTATTATAATTAAATAATTTGGGAAATTAAAAATTATCATTAATTCATAAAAATGCTTAGGTTGGGGCACCAAAGAACAGAGGACCTCTGGAGGCACTTCGCCCTAAATTAGAGGTATCATAATATAATAAAAGGAAATGCTACAGTCCCGTTACGGAACCATTCCGTCGGGATTTGTAACCGTTAGATCATCATGTAACCGTCGTGGATAGTTGATCTAACGGTTACAAACTCCGAAAAAATTGTTCTGTAACGAGACCGTAACATCTCCCTATAATAAAATTCATTTATATAACATACACAATTTCTCTCTCTCTCTCTATATATATATATTAAAAAATTTGGGGGAACAATTTAAATCACTCATTGTTCATTATGATGTTCAAATTAATGAAATTATAGTCCTAATTTTATTTTATTTTATTTTTATTTAAACAGCCCACAAGACATGAACAAGTGCGCTCACGATCAGCTTATGCACCTACAGATGATGGCCAAGGTAACAAACTGAATTTTTATTTAAAATAGATTAATTGATAATATTTATTTTTAATTTTATTTTTCTTCTCAGATGTTTGCATGATTTCTGATGAAAATCAGAATCGTAAATCGGACGGCTACGATGAAATCAACAGCGACCGGTCCACAGAGAATCAGTCGATGAATTCTCAAAATTGATTAATCATACGATTTTAAAACACGTATTTAACTGTTAAGGTTTTTTTTTAAGCTAATATCATGGTGTGATGGTGTGACTGATGACATAAATAAGTTATACTATAAAGTTTGAACGGAATAATTCTCAACTTGTTTTTGATTTATCAAGCTAAATTGAAGGAAATGGACTTTTTGGAGCATTTATGGGCCTTAAGATTCTTCAAAATTAAACTTTTTTAGGCCCATTTACACATGTTTTCTGATATAAAAGTTTGTAAGGCCCATTTACGCAACTTTAGCGGGTACACGGCTTGCCAAGGGCTTGGCATCAGATAACCGTTTGGCACACTGTTCTTTAATAGTTGACCGATTTTTATTTAATGCTAAATTGAATATTTATGTATGATGTTTTTAGAAGATTAAATTTGATAAAATTAAATATTTCTATATATAAGATTTTTAGATTAAGTTGTGTGGTTGTCTGTTTGAAAGTTACAGGGTTGTAATTTCTATCCTTTGGATGTGATATGGTCATACTCACGGACTAGTGTTGACAGTTCGACTGGGCAGTAAGTCGAGCTGTCTAGGATGACTCGGGTTAAGTAGGTCGACCCGTTGTAAGTCAACGGAATGATCGTAACTCGAGGTCCTTTAGGTAGTGTCTGGTTCAAGAGATTTGGAGGGGAGGGGAGGGGAGGGGAGGGGAGGGAAGGGGAGAGGATTTTATATTTTTCCTCTGTTTGATTGGTAACTTAGGAAGGGAGGGGAGCAGAAATTTTATGTCAAAATTCCTCCCCTCCCCCAATTTTGCTCCCCTCCGAAAGTGGGAGAATTTGGAGGGGAGGGAAAATTTTAAATTGTAAAATTACATTTTTGTCCTTTATATTGGGATTATTTTAATTTTTTTGTTTTTTACATCATTTAGGGTATAACTGTCAATTTTACAATATTTTTCTTTCCCCTCCATTTTCTTAACCAAACAAGATTTATCATTTTCCCTTCATTCCCCTCCTACAAAATCTCTCAAAACAAGGTAAAATTATGTTACATCATCATTCTCTTCCCCTTCCTTCCATTAAAATCCCTTCACTCCCCTCCCCTCATTTGAACCAAAACATAGCCTTAGTCGGTTTACAGGATATCGGCTTAAAAGCCTCGAGTCGACTTGCGAGATCGGCCAATGAAACAAATACGTACTAGAAAGAATAGCACGTAATAATTCGATATCGAACCAAACTTTGACTGAACTTCTCCTTCTTATACTATTCGAAGAAGGTGTGGTAACTACTAGTTGTGCCCTTCCCCTCCTTTCTTTGGCTTCAACGTCAACCGGAGAAAGCCCAAGAGATGGAAGCAGCCAGCTGACTGCCCCCTTCAACCCAACCTTTATTCGTCCTGGTTGCTTTGCTGAAAAGGCCACTACGCTGAAATAGAGCAACATCCGGTTTGTGAACTGGCGACATTGTCTAATCTCTTTCCCTGATGTGCGCGTACTACTTCTACCTTAGGAGTTTCCTTTGGCGGACATTAAGAGTCCAAGAAGAGCTTATGGATTTGAAAATAGGATCTCAGATGGGAATTCAAAAAGAGATCCTAGGAGCTAATCAAGTGCCACAGCTTATTCAATAAGAGGGGATGCGAAAACAACTGAGATAACGTCGGATACTTAAGATCTTGCCTTGCCATCTGTCAGTTGGATTCGACGAGTTCTATCACTTTATTAGATGAACTCGCATCATCCAATCTTGGTTGTTTGGAAGCAGGACCTAATGAGTCTTCTTCCCTCGAACCATTCATCAACGGATGCTGCTTCCCAGATTGGGTAAAAGTGCAAACCAATAGCTGCAGAAGTAGGAATAATGGAACCGGAGATAATATTGTTTCCGTTTCCTGGCTATCGAATCTGGGAAAAAATATCTTTTCATCTCTGGTTGGCGAACATGACTCATCCGATCGGGACCCGAATTCTCACTCGTAGCAACCAAGCAAGAAAATGGCTGGTCAATCCCCATAGAACAACCATTTGAGAAAAACAACTGCAGATGAGTCTTAGGACAGCCAGTTCCATCACCCCAGTCAATCCAATCGGGGTACCCCCCCCCCCTTCCAAGGGACTTCTGAAAAAGGTAGATCAACATACCCTCCTTATTTTCGTACCCTCGAAAATCATTGCAGAAAGTGGCTAGGTGATGCATGGGATCACCAACTCCGTTATACATTTCAAAGAGTCGAGTAACTCCAGGACCTCGAGGATGGTCCGAGATGAGAATGGGGTGACGATAGCAACTCCTCTTATCAATATGAAGAATGCTATAGTCGACTTCGCATATCTCGAGGTCACCTGCACTCACCTTGCAGCTCGAGGTTGACTTCACTCATCTTGCAGCTTGAGGTCGACTTCACTCATCTCATTTGTCTCATTACTCGAGATCCACACCAAGGAACCATATCTCAATACTCAGCAAGCTTAACGGATAAGGATGAATCTTTAAAAGATAAGATGAAATCTTAAATTGACTAGGATCTGACGAAGAAGTGATTAAGATATAGATAAGCACCAAAGATTCGGGTAGCCGGGAAGGCTGACCGCTGGCACTCGGGCAGGGCACTCCAGGCAGGTATTTCTCCTGTAAAAGGGGCTAAAGTACACCATTTCACAACTTCACACTCTATACACATTTCGTATTGCTCTTTTGAGAGAGCATATCTCCCTCTTCCTGATAATAACTTAAGCATCGGAGGCTCTCTACCGGAAATACCTCCGGCGTTGAGTTCTTGCAGGTGCTCGTGACGATCCAGACGCGGTTTAGATAGGTCAGAGATCATTTAGACCTGTGTCATCCAAATCTAGAAGAGGACCCCATCAGGCTGGTTCAATTTGGTTTTTTTGTTGAAAATACTTTTATAATAAATATTTGCTCTTAAAAATCTATTACATAAATAATATATGTATAATTATATTTTAAATATAATAGTTATATCTTAAAATATCATATTTAATTCTAAATAATTATGGATTAACCATTTTTTTAGGTACATAATATTTTTCACAAAAAAATAAAGTAGGTTTAATTTTGTTTTCTTTTAAAGACAAAAGATGTACGGGATTCATGCATGTGGACCTTTATAAACTATTATTTTTTGTGTGTGTGAATATTTGCTCCTCATGAATATTTATATTAGTATATCCTTTCACAATCAACATTTTTTTGGCTCAAAATATAAAGTTTGTGAGTGAATTGGAGCTTTTGATAATCAGAACTCCAATCTCAGGGATTAGTGGTTCGGTTTTATTTTTTTAATCTAAAAATATGATTTGAAAAAATCTATTTGTGAATAATCAATTATTCAAATCATTTAATCAACATTTCAAAGTATACTTTGAATAATATGACATTTTTAGAGGTTCCAGCTCATGTTTTGCCTAATCGATTCATACTCCAAATTCGAGTTGTCACTATTCACAATTACATGTATGACAAATGGTTCTTTTTTTACACTCACATTATAGACCGACATCTTTCACTCCTCACAGCTCTGGGCAGACTCATTCCTATAGACTGGGCAGGCTGCACGCCGCCTCACCGCTTTGCACCACCTTCGTTGCCGCCTGTCCAGCATCCATGACCATAGCTGTTGCACGGCTAAGAATCGAGCCCTCTTGAATTAAGCTAAACACAGACGAATCATTTGACTGACTTACTGGAGTCGCCGGAGGTAGGGCCTGATAGGGATCATAGCGGTGCTCTAATTACCGTCTTTCATGTCCCTCTTCAGACTTGCGCTTCAAATCAGTCTTCATAGTGTTGTCTCGATCTCCTCACATACAAAAAAAAAAAGAGAAAAAAAAATAAAAATTACTGTAATAAATAACGTTGGACAGATATTGTTGGGGCTATGACCATTTGAATAAAATTTATTTAATGTACAAAAACAACTTTTTGGACCACATTAATTTCATTTATTTTCAGCTAACGAAAATTCTCCGCCGACCATTTGTAACCAGAAATTCAGAATTCTTTTATTATAATACTATGGAGTAATATAACAAAAGGGTTATCTGTGTATGTGTGACATTTGGGGTTTGTATTTACTTTCTTGTCCGAAAATATTTTTGCATTTATTTGATGTTTGTTACATGTAAGATAAAAATTATGTTTCTTCCAATGCATAGTAAATACTAATTTTATTCCAACCTAAAATATGAGAAAATCAATGTTTAATAGAATTTGAAAAAAAAAAA